CCACATGGATGGATGGCCACCTCTCCACTGGCTGCAGTGCCTGCCCCTTGAGCCCTCCTGGCCAGGTGCCCCCGGGCGGGGTACCTTGGACTGAGCAGCCCCTCAGCTGAACTTCAGCCTCATCCCCCATACTCCACGGTACCAGCGTCTACCAGGCACTCAGGCCAGAAAGACGTAAGTTGTCCTGGACTCCTTCTCCCTCAGTTCCAACGTCAAAACGTCACCAGGTTCTGCAGCATTTTCCTCCGGGATCCACTGTAAAAGGGTCTTCTCTCATCCTCTCCCCTGAGACGACTGCACGGCTGTCTACCTGGCCTCCCTCTTTCACTCTTACCATACCCCACCCAATCTGGTCTTCACATCAGTGCCACTGTAACTGAGTGACTCCCATCCCGACAGCATCCTGCTTAAACCCCTTGGTGGCTCCTCTTTGCTCCCTGGATAAAGTTCAAACGCCACAGTATGTCTTACGTGAGTAGGGCAACCACAGAATAGGCTTACACTCCTATCCTAACCAGGGTGCTTTTGAGAGCAAAAGGTGGTGCCGTCAATAAATACACTGGGACAACAGGTGTGTGGTCACTCTACTTCGAAGATCCTTCATGATCTGGTCTCAGCAGCACCATCCCTCCTCACCACTCCCCACCAAACCCCGAAACACAGGCATACACAGGCACGCATGCGCGCGCGCGCGCGCGCGCGCACACACACACACACACACACACACACACACACCACTCTTTAGGGTGCCCACGTAAGTACATGCTATTCTGTCTGCCTGAAAGATCCTTCTCCCCATTCTCCCTTTGGCGAATTTCTAACCAACTGTTTCCAAAGTCAAAATAATTTTCTCCAGGATGCCTTCCTGACTCCCAGCACTGGCTGAGGTGTCCCCGCTCCCGGTCCCCGCCCCCGCCTGCCCCGTGCTCACATTGCATCTTGTTCTTCCCTCTTCACAGTGCTAATCACACCCAACTGTAAAGCCGTTTTCCTCTCTGGACCAGAGCTCCTGGGGGAGGGGGCCCTTGTTGGATTCGTTTCTGTGCCCCTAGCATCTAGAACAGCGCTTGGCTTGCAAAAAGGCACTGGGCTGCGCACTGAAACTTTGCGCACCTTCCTGTCTGCTGAATGAGTGGGAATCAGGCACCGTGTTGTCTCCCTGGCTGCCGGGGTGTTAAGGGGAAGAGCGGACCTGGAGGACCCGCAGGTGCCTCTCAAGGCTGGAGCTATTTCCCTCCATCCTCTGCTTGGCTCCCCCTAGTGGCAGCTGGGCAGCAGTGACCGGTCCCGTGGGCCACGTTGGCCCAGGCAGGAAAGGGACGGGCAGGGGAAGCGTCCTCAGCCAGGCTTCAACTCCTACTGGGCAGCCCTAAACTGCCTGGCTGCAGCCACAGAGTCCCCATCCACGGGGCCACCAGAGGTCCTACCCCACGAGCTTTGAGGGTGAGGACTGAAGTCGGGTAGTGTGGCTCCAGGCTAACTTCCATGCTGGAGGTAGAAAACTGCTGTTCCGTGTATTGCCCTTGCAAAATGGATTAGTCAAGCCTGGCTGCCCTCTTTTGTCTTATATTCAAACCCTGGATCCAAGCCACAAATGCGAGTGAGCTCAGGGCAACACTGTGGATGAAACGACAAGACCCAGCTGCGACATGAGTGGATGCACCGAGTGTGGCCGTGGGGACTTGGAAAATCTAAGAATGGAGTCAGTTGAAAACACAAAACGGGGTGGAAGGGGATGGGATGAAGGCCCGTTGGTTTGATTTTGCTGCAAAATGAGCTTTCCCTTCCCCCATTTGGAATTTCATAGTTGGTAGCTGAGCTACTGGAGGAAGGCCTTGGGGAAGAAAGGTGGGCGGGGAGGGGAAGGGAAAGATGGGAGAAGGGTCTCACTCTGGTGGCTTAGGGCATGCGTAGGAACAGTAGCCTGTCACTGAGGGGCATCCAACAGGCCAGCGACAAAGAGGATCACACTCGCACAGACTCAGGCTGGAGCAAGGAATCAGCCAGTTTTCTGAGTCTCGGAGGAGCTGGTGAGGTGACCAAGGGCTGCAATGGAAAAAGCTACCTTGCCCCTTGGTCTCTCCTTTCCCTTCACTCACAAGCAAAAACACAAGAGAACATCCTCAAAAAAAGACAAGTGGGCCTAATAAGCTTCATGGCAAGACTACTAAGGAACCTCAGAGGCCAGGGGCATTTAGGTGTGCAGGCAGGAGAGCGAGGCGGAGAGGGGAATGGAAGATGGCGATCAGGAAGAAGTGTCTGCTTTCTTGGAGCCCTTGGCGCTGAGACACAAAGTGATCTCCGGAAGGTGAGGTCGTAGGAATCAGTCCAGCCACCACAAGCCCTTTCCCTTTGCAATCACTGGGGCCATGGAGAGCAGAACTAGATAATCATTACCATGGGTGTTCTGGGTCTGAATATACCTGTGGCTATCTTAGCTCCACCACAGTTGTCCCACAAATACCTAGACTTTGAAAAAGGGGACTTAGAAGACACATGTTATCAATGATTCTGTGGAACACTGCACTTTATCCATCAGGATTTGGGGCAGAATTTCCTTTACTCCTCAACAGGGAGTCTCAGAGTAGTAGAAAAAAGGTCTGCAGGAGAAAGACCGGCCTCAAAACATGGCCGGAATAAAGGAGGAGGGGGGAGTCCTGAGCTGTAGCATTCTTGCCTTTAAATCATGACCTGACGTCATGATAGGAGCTACCTGTTCCAAGCAGCTGTAGGGTGGGCGGTGGGGAGGGGGTTTGAGGGGAGATACCCCCGGTGTGTTCTTTTGGATAAAAGCCTTTGCAAAAGGCTGAGCCTGTAAGAACAGCCTTCTGGGAGAGCCAGCAGTTGGCAAAAAGGCAGCAAATGACTAACAGGCACAAGGTCAATCCTTGGCCTGAAAATGAGGTGTCAGTTAACTTCCAGTATGTTCCTGCCCCATGGTTGTATTAATTCTAATCCTCCCTTCTCCCATTTGCAGCTATTGAGGGCAGTATAGAGGACTCTGGTAAGCTGTTACCATGTGATGGGCGGAGGTGGGTGGTGCTTTGGCTTTGCTGGAGGACGCATCTGGCGGGAGGCTAGAGGTGTCCACTGAAAGGTAGGAGGCTGCCTCCCCTTCCTAACCGAATGTAATGGCTCTTCTCACCACTAGGGCATTTATTCCTTCAGTGGTCTTTAGTCTGCATGGGGGGCCCCAAAGCAGGGCAGAACCTTCTTCCTTCATCCTTACTTCTGAAGTTCTTTCTGGGGGTGTGCCTCCAATACCCAGATCGCTTTCCAGAAGCCTCTTCCCCACTCCACAACCAGAGCTAGTAAGAGACTACTAGGCAAGATCGCTAAGAGGGGCAGGTCTTTCTTCTTTAAATAATTTGACAGAGAGAGACACTGCGAGAGGGAATACAAACGGGGAGTGGGAGAGGGAGAAGCAGGCTTACCGCCGAGCAGAGAGCCCGATGTGGGGGCTTGATCCCAGGACCCTGGGATCATGACCTGAGCAGAAAACAGAGGCTTAACGACTGAGCCACCCTGGCGCCCTAGGTTTTTCTTTTTTTAACTGCAGGCTTTCTCCATGATCCTAATAGCCCTCAGGCCAAGGGCTACATGCTATTAACAGTCCAATTAAATAAACTCTCTAGCAGAAAACGCTTCTATTCCCAATCTGGCAGGGAGATTGGTAGCCCCAATTTGCAATGAAATCTCTTATAAAGGCATTAGCTTGGGGACTCCGTTGAGGTGAGGTTTCTGTTGTCCCAAGGCCTCTCCCTTCCTCTGGCTCAGAGGGTGGAAGGTGAGGGATGTGGAGAAGCTGGGGATGCCTTTCGCTCAGCAGCAGGCATCAGGCCCTTACAGGTGCAGGCTGATCCTGGCTTTGGTGCCTCCCCTCTTACCCGCCACCTCTGTTCCTGCCGCCGTTCCCTAGTTGAGATCCACTTGCCTTCCAGGGCACTTGGGGGCTCTCCCGCTTAGAGGAGCTTGTGGCACTTGGCTGGGTGCCATAGGGGACTGAATACCGACCCTCTCCCAGGCAGAGGGGCCAAAGGTGGGGACCAAGGGCCTCTCCTGAGTGACCTTAAAACCTCATCCTAGGAACTGAGTGACCCAAGGGGGCCCACAGTAGAGTCGAAATGTTTGGACACAGCAAGCCCTGACCCACTGACCCAGTACTTCAGGAAGCTGCATGATGGGCAGGTTAGGGCACTGATGCTTCATGTCAGTGGCTCCTGGAGCAGCAGCCCGACCAGGTGAATGTGGACTAGCGGGTCAGAGGCACATACTTCAGAGCCCACCTCAGTCCCTTTGGAATCACCACCCCCCTTTTTTTTCCCAAAAGACTCACTGTAAAGTTGAGACCCCAATATTCAACGTAAAGTGCAACCAAGGCAAACAAAAGCAGAACGAGGCTTCAAAGATAAAAGGGCGCTGAGCTCTGCAGAAAGCTCTGGAAGCACGTGGCTTCTCCCGAAGAGAAAGGGCACCCTTATTTGATGAGGCACCAAAAACAAAAACAAAACCAAAACAAAAAAACCCCACTGAGCGTTCTGGAATGCATTATAATTCATTCTTCAATTGTACACATTTATCTTCCCTGGTTTTTAATTAGGAGGCCTGATACGAAATGCCACATGTGTGTCTACTACCGATGGAGGGAAATTTTGCATTTGGCAAAATTGGTTCCAAATGAATAAATGATAGAAACTACACTCTTCCTATGAGAAAAGTACTGAATGTCCAGCCGTGGGGAGTACCAGAGATCCAGCAGGCCTGACATGCAATGTACCCTCTGGTATATAAGGCACAGAATTAAACCATATGTAGTTCTCAGTAAACCCCAGACTTCTTAAGGTCTTACTGTTGAACGGAACTGTGGCCAAGGTCTTCTCTTGGCTGAACCATGCAGCTAACAGTCTAGAGACGCGGAAGAGCTATCATTGGGCAGCAAGACCCCCTTAGACCAAATCTGCAACAGAAAGATTGGTACAGACACGATACGGACCCACAAATCACACACAGACACTTTATTAGTTTCCTCTACAAGAGACAATAACATCAGTCTTTAACAGAAATCTCAGGTCATTGGAGAGACCAAAGAGATGGAAGGAAGATGAAATATTTAAATTAATCAAAAGGCACTACGACCCCACCTAAAACCTACTACCATGGTGGTAGCGGGCTATGGAAGATTACTCTATGGCAAAAATAATCCCGTGTCAATGTCAGAGATTACACAGCAGGAAGCGACTTTGCTTTCCAGAAGACTGGTACGGGGAACACTTGCGCCCAGAGGACATCTGGCCAGGGGAAGGGCAAGATGGCTGAAGGTCAAGCCAAATGGAAAGGAATGGCCACAAAGGAGAATCCAAGCGACACAATCCCCGAGCAGGGGATGAACGATCAGGCTTTTTCCTCCCAAGAAGCAGTCATTGCCCTGTGTGCTGCCTCCCCAACCAACCCGGGGCACCCCCACCCCCTCCAGAGAGTGGCCTTACAGGACTCAGAGGCCCAAGCTGGGGCTGCCTAGGGCTCTTGCTGTCATTTCACAGAGACTTTTGAGAGCCTGTCACAGGCTGGGGGTGGAGGGGGGAACCGGGGTGGCTCCGTTGCCAGGAGTTCTGAACCAAGGAAACCCTGAAGTATTCACATGCAAAGTAGTCTGTGCTTCCCCCCCTCCTCCCCGGGGCCACATTCAAATACCCCTGCACAGCGCCCTCCAGAGCCTGAAATCTCGCTGCTGGGCTACAGGTAAAGCTACAAGGCTCAAAGCAGCGTCAAGCCAGAATGAGACAATGCAGGCGGCGGGGGGGTGTGGGGGGCTGGAAATCACAGCAGTTTGTCTCAATCTGTCTTTCTCTACATTTAGGAGAAATGCTAATACACCTGATGAGGGGTTTAGAAAGCCGGGCCTTCTGTGGAATTTGTCATCAAATACCAAGGGAAAACAAGGGGGTGGGGTTCACTTTGTAAAAAGCCTCAGCAGTTACTCTATTATAAAGGGACGTGGCTGAACAGGTAGGAAACGGATTCCCCGTTGTGAGTTCTCCTGATGGCTTCTGCCAGGATCATGGAGATGTCGATCACCTACGGGAGCCGAGAGGAGCATCAGGTTAGTGGCACACAGATGACCGACCCGTTGGCCGACACTGGTGAGCAGCGTCACACGGGGCCTTCCCCTTCAGACTGCAGCACAGGGCTGTGTCCCCTCGTGAGCCACCCCAGCTATATTCTGCATAGTATTTCTCCATATGAAGTTCAGAGACTCAAGGGATTCGTGTACACACTTTTAATGAAGCAAGGCCTTGTTCTTTCAGTGCAACAGATCTTAAATAATTACTTGGGGGAATTAAAGGAGTGGTCCTAGGACCTCCTGGTTTTGTGGGTCTCAAATGGAGCCAAGGAATCTGCATTTTAACAAGAACCCTAGGTAATTAACTTAGGCTGTTTCCATAGCCGGCTCTGAGACACTGAAGTTCTGAGGGGTGTACCCCCCGTTCACAGGTTTCCCACTGTGTCTGCAGGGGCCAACAGCTAAGAGTGACACACGCACAGTGTAAAGCATGGACTTGCAAAGTGGAGTGTGTATCACCATCACTGAGAGAGTCCTCTGACCTCCAGAGGTTCGCCTTGCATCTGAACTTTTAAGCGTGATTTTTTTTTCTTTGGGGTCACAGGTCCTGATGACAGACTCAGCCCTTAAGGGCAAAGGAGGACATCTTCAGAATCCAGACCCCCAACTCGCCACAGGCAACCGCCTCCTGAAAATACCTCACAGAGACTTCTTTTGCAAAAGTCCCCTCCTCACCTGTATTTTGGAGCAATGCTTCATCTTATCCTCCTGAGGTATGGTATTGGTGACAACTACTGCTTCAAAGCATGCGTTGTTAATGCGAGAAATGGCTGGGCCAGAAAAGATTCCGTGAGTCAAAATTGCATAAACTCTGGTGGCTCCAGCTGAGAGAAGTCTAGAGGAAAAAGCAGAGTTGCTCTGGATTACTCACTTGTCACTAAAGGGCCTGAGTTAGTGGGGAGGGGATTTTATCAGTCAGCTTGGGTGCCTTAAAAAAACAGATCTTGGGGCGCCTGGGTGGCTCAGTGGGTTAAAGCCTCTGCCTTCGGCTCAGGTCCTGATCCCGGGGTCCTGGGATCGAGCCCCACATCGGGCTCTCTGCTTGGCAGGGAGCCTGCTTCCTCCTCTCTCTCTCTGCCTGCCTCTCTGCCTACTTGTGAGCTCTGTCTGTCAAATAAATAAATAAAATCTTTAAAAAAAAACAGATCTTGCTCTCAGTTCTAGAGGTCAAGATCAAGATGGTGACAAGGTAGCTGTCACCCTGAGGCCTCTTCTCTTGGCTTGCTGGCAGCTGCCATCTCTCACTGTGTGCACCTACGCATGGGGGATCCAGCTCTCGGGAGTCTTTTCTTACAAAGGCACTAATCCCATCATAAGGTTCCCCCACCATGGCCTCATCTAAACCTAGTTACCTCTCCCAAGGGCCCCATCTCCAAATACCATCACTGGAAGGTTAGGACTTCCAGTGTATGAACTTTAGGGGGACATGATTCAGTTCATAGTTCATAGCAAAGAGAAATAACTGGACTAAGAACTTACCTGAACTGGTTTGGATTAACGAATTAAGACTGGAAAAGACTGCTAGGCTCAACAAAATCCATCGCCTTTTTATCCTGGGCACACAGCTGGACTACATTTCCCAGCCTCCCTTGCAAAGTTAGGAGTGGCCCTGTGACTTAATTCTAGCTATCAGAATGTGGGCAGATGCAATGTATACCACTGGCTGGGCTTAGAAGAATCTTCCATGGTGATTCTCCATGCTCTTGTTTTCTCTTTCTGGCTGGCCAAACTGGAAATGTCTTCCAAGGTAATCTTGGAAGCCGTATATTAAAGATGCAGCACCACAAAACCGAAAGAGGGATACTTACCTGCACCAGAGTAAGCCAGGAACAAGAAACTATCATGGTTATGAACAGACATTTCAGGGAGCTGATCTGTTACAGGCATTAGGGTCACCTTAATCATACAAGGACGATATGAGTTTTATCAATGTGTACTCCAGGATCCCAATCAGGAATTGCTCAGCCCACAAACACTTTCTTAGCCCCTACTATATGCCAGGCCCTGGGCATGGCACAGATATCCCGAGGTTAAGAAAAAATTAGGAGAAACAAGGCTCTCCACAGTCGTGTGGATTATAAGAATGGGGAGCCACTTAAGGTTTTTATGGAGAGGAGTGATGGGTTCTAGCCTTAGTTTCAGTAGATTAGCTAGCGGGGAGGCAATGAGAGAGATGGACTGGGGAGGTAAGAGACTGGTGGCTAGCAGCAGAGCGAACAGAGTGAAGGCACGGCTTGGAACAGTGCAGACAAGGGATACCTGGGTGGCTCAGCTGGTGAACTGTCTCCCTTCAGCTCAGGTCATGATCTCAGGGTCCTAGGATTGAGCCCCACATCGGGCTCCCTGCCGAGCAGGGAGTTCTGCTTCACCCTCTCTCTCTGCCTGCCACTCCCCCACTTGTGCTCGCTCTCTCTCAAATAAATAAATAAAATCTTAAAAAAAGAAAATCACAAGGAAAATACATTTATAGTACCACACTGTATTTATAAAAACAAAATGCATAAACGGACTCACACAATTCAAATCTGTACAAAGGGCCAATTCCTATCTTTTCAAGCCCATACATGCCTACTTGTGATCTCTGTCTGTCAAATAAATAAATAAAATCTTAAAAAACAAACAAACAAAGAAAAAACTACCAAACATCGAGTACTCAAGGCCACCTGGGTGGCTTAGTTGTTAAGCATCTGCCTTCAGTTCAGGTCATGATCCCAGCATCCTGGGATCGAGCCACACATTGGGCTCCCTGCTCAGCGTGGAACCTGCTTCTTCCTCTCCCACTCCCCTGCTTGTGCTCCTGCTCTCACTGTCTCTCTCTCTCTCTCTCTGTCAAATAAATAAAAATAAAATCTTTAAAACAAACAAACAAAAAGTCGAGTATTCAGAGTGGTCAAAACATTTTGCAAATAAAGTGGTGACAGTCGCACGACACTGCCGATGTAACTAATGGCCCTGAATTGTACACCTAATGTTCAAAACGGCCAATTTTATACTCTGTATGGTTTAGCATAATAAAGTCAGGAGATATGAGGGGGGATATTCATCAACGTATGCACACTGCAACTCAAGCCTCAGGTGAGAAATCTCCCAAAGCTAGTTACCATCCCCCTCGACTCACTTCCATGAGAATCCGCTGGCGTAAGGCACTGAGATGGCAGCGGGCTATGTGTTCCCTTTCTGACCACTGGCCCCACCTCTCCTCACTCACTTGTCAGCAGCATGGCAGATTGTGCCACAGGTGTCAGCCATGTCATCCACTAGGATGGCCACCCGGTCCTTCACGTCTCCCACCAGCACCATGCGGTCTACTTCGTTAGCCTTCTTCCGTTCTTTGTGAATCAGAGCGAAGTCCACGTTCAACCGGTCTGCAATGGAGGTCACTCTGCAAAACAGGGTGTTCGAAGTTAAACCTAAGGACGAAAGACAGGGACTAAACGACGGGCTTGTTTTCCGGCGGGGAGGTGCGGGGGGAGGGAGGGAACACTCTTTGAAACCAAACTGTTCCCAGGGCTGGAAGAAAAGAGCTCTCATTGATTGACTTCTCAGAGGCCAAAGGCACAAAGTGGGTTTTATAGACTAAAGCCTCCATATCCTGAGAGCAGTTTATGAGCGTATTAGTCAGACTTCGATTATAATTAATTCTGGTTTACAGCGAGCGGGGGATAGCCAGATGCCTCACCAGTCCCAGGAAGCAGTAGGATGCGAAGGCACGTTCATTTAATAGATTGGCAGCAGAAGGGGGAGAGAGAGAAGACGTCATTAACTAAGGCCGCGAGTGCACAGATTGGCCCAATTTGACATGCGGATGTTGTGAGAAGTGAACCTGAACCTGGCAGGAGAGGAGTCAGAATGCCTGTGCTCTCACCACACTCCCCTCAGTGCTCCACCAACTGTCAATGTCAACTGTACCTGGACACCAAGCTTGGAAGTTCCTTTTAGGAGCGCTAGAAAGAAAGTTATACCAATTAACCAGGAAAACTGGACATCTGGCCGCACAGCCCGAAGTATCTCCAAGTCAAAACGTCAGTCTCATTTTGCTATTACACAATAATACAAACCGAACTAGAGGGTGGGACGGGAAGACCGATCTCTAATGACCAAGTCCCGTATAATAATTCACTCGACCAGAAATCGATTCAGCGTAAATGACAGAGAGCTGCTCAGTGTAAATGGCGTGCAGGCCCGTGGTCTGCTGTGCCATCCTCCCCCCGTCCATGAAGAAGCCTGTGCCTTGGGTCTTTTTTTTTTTTAATGCAGCACTGATCTAACCAAAGCATTATGCCCGGTTTCTGCTGTGACTATGGTCACGTGACTGGTGTTGTGCTGGATAGCGGAGAATGCATGACCCTGTCACAGAGAACACAGAAGATCCGAACCACAACTTGGATGGCATCTGTACCCTGACCTAGGGACCACAGCCTGTGCTCTCCGTGACTACTGGGTGGGCAAGAGGAACATCAAGAATAACCCATCTGCTTGGAACATTTATTATCCAAGACAAATGCATGATCAAATTAGCTCAAGTGTCCCCGACCGTCCAGACTCGATGGCCAACAAACTCAATGACCGACAAAGCAGAAGGGCTGGAAATGTCATTCCCTATACCCCTGAGGGGAGAAACTGCAAGTCACCAGCACACGGGGATCTCCACCTACTCCGAAAACCCTGCCAAGGCAGAAGTGATAACAGCCACTCACTCTGAAAACACTCCACTGCTGTAAGAACATTATCAACACACACACAAAAGAGTCACCTACTGAAGGCAGTTTTCCTGTACCCAACTTTGGAAAGAAAAGCTTGCCTGATTATTTATTTAAATCAAACATGACTATTTTCTAAGTCCCATGGCAAGATGGGAAATTACTGGCCAACAAGTTAAGACAAGTTTGACAACTACCAGTAAGGGGATGCTTCTTAGGTGCACCGCTTTTACAGATGGTAACTAGCAATTACGTGGGACTCATGAAGCCATGCCTCTGGCTGAATAACGGAACCCAAGTTCTCAGTTTGGTGCTTCTGCTGAAGTTAGTGAAATAATAAGGTTATTGAGAAACAGTCACTGAAAATCTGAGTGGCTTCAGAAGGATCTGAATTAGCTTTTCCTAATCATCTGTGTTTTGTAGCTTCTTCATTCTATTTCCACAAACAAGAAGAACACGTGTTATCCTTTTGAATGCATTACTAGTGAGTGATACACCAAGGAAATCAAGAGCTCTTAGTCTGCACCAGGTGAACTGTAAAGCCCCCAAACTGGTAATCCTTGGCAATCAGTTTGCTTAAAATGTTAAGGTCTTGTTTTTCAATAAAGTTACTCCACTTTATTTTCCTTCCTGCTTAATATCTTCATGCCAGAATGAAAATGGCCTAACCACCGGCATCATCAGGCACGGAAAACGCCTACTTGTCCACTAATAGCACGTAGTTTGAAAGCAGGTGCCATTCATTAGAAATCCCAATTTCCCACCGTTCTGGATAGCTTCCCAGTGGTGTGGCTAGCTCTGCAGTGCCAAGCTGACTCATGGATTTCAGTCAAGCCTACAACATGGTAACTACTTAAGGGCCCTCTTTGTGCTGCCCTGCCTTTCAGGCAGTGACTCAGGCCAGTAAAAGAGGGTTAGTAAAACTATGCCCAGCCTGTGCCCCAGCTCCACCCACTCTGAAGTAGAGCTGACCCTTGAAAGACATGGGTTTGACCTGTGCAGGTCCACTTAAGAGCCGATTTCTGTTGGTGCAGTGGAGTACTGAAAACGTATTTTCTCAGTAACATTTTCTTATCTCTTGCTTGCTTTCTTGTAATGTACTATGTAATTCACATAAAATACAACAGGGTTAATCAGCTGTTTATGTTACTGGGAATGCTTCCAGATAATAGTTGGCTGTCAGGAGTGGAGTTTTGGGGTGGTCAAAAGTTCTATGTGGATTTTTGATCGCACGGGGAGTGGGGAGGACGATACCCCGAACCCCCATGTCGTTCAAGGGTCAACTGTACTTAAAAACTGTCACCTGCTAGAAAAGTATCACTTCCTGGGGCACCTGCGGGGCGGAGGGGGAGGCAGTTAGTTAAGACCTGCCTTCGGCTCAGGTCATGATTCCAGGGTCCTGGGATGGAGCCCCCAGCCAGGCTCTCTGCTCAGCAGGGAGCCTGCTTCTCGCTCTCTCCCCCACCCATATGCTCCCTCTCTCTATCTCTCTCTAATAAATAAAATCTTTACAAAAAAGAAAAAAATACCACTTTCTGACACAACTGTCTGAACGACTTCCCCAGTACTTTGAGAATAATATGCATTCCGGCCATACCTCTTTGCTCCACCAGCATCAGGTGAGACAATAGTACAGTTCCTCCACTCAGAGATGTTCTCCCTTATCCATTTCAGGACAGCCGGCTCTGCATACAAATTGTCCACGGGGATATCAAAAAAGCCCTGTAGAAAGAAGCTGAGTCACGTTTGCTTTGTTTTTCTGCACTTCCATTTATAAATGACCAATACAAAGAGGTTAATAATAATCTGCCCAACGAATATCTTTCTGTAACGTTCAGACTGATTGGAAGGCATGCCTGGTGGAGGAGACTAAAAATGGCTTCCTCAAACCTGGGCGGCACAAGAGAGTCCAGCCAAGATGGGCAAGGCCTGCCCTCAGCTAACCCACAACTGAGGAAGGGGACATGAGCGAGCCCTTGGGAAGAATGGCCAAGTTCAGCCGATACCAGAACACCCCAATCAATGTGTATACTCGTGAGGTCATACTGCCTTATGCCACTAAATGCTGGACTGGTTTGTTAGGGAGCAAGAGCTAACTGCTAAACTAGTTAGAGAAGCTAGTGGAATGTATTTATAATAATAAATGGTCACACAGAGTAACTCTAATACTAGCTGCTATTAATTAGTTGTGTTTCTCAACAAATCTGTTCCTCTTCTACGAAATGGGTAGAATCACCTACTCCGGTACCTCACTGGGTCGCCACAAGCCTCCAAGGAGGATCCGAAAGTCCCTTTAAATAGTACAAAACAGAAGGTAGTATCCCACTCCCCTTTCTCTGGGTTTATGCTAGGAAGTAGGTTCCGATAGCTGTGGCTCTCAAACAGCTCCTATTTATTGAGCACCTGTCCTGGGCCACGCGTTCCACCGTAAATTTCACACTCACAGTAACAACGCAGCGTGTGTTCAGAGGAGTTAAAATAACCCGCCCAAGGTTACAAAGCCGCCGACTGTCAGAGCCAATATTCAAACCAGGTCTGAACCCAAACCCAATGCTCTTTCTCCGGATTCCAGCCGGCCTCCCCTACGCGTCCGCCCCAGAGACTAAGGTCAGGGAGCGCGCTGAAGGGGAGCGCGCGTGCAGCAGTGTCAGTGTTCTGCTTAATCTGAGCGGCACTTGGGCAGGTTTTTGCTTCTCTGCGGTCTCCAGCATTATCAGCTCTCTCCTCCCCAACCCCCTTTCTGCTGCCCACTATTTCGCTTCCAGATACCTGAATCTGAGAAGCATGCAGGTCCATGGTGATAATATGATCCGCGCCTGCTACAGACAGCATATTTGCCACCAGCTTGGCTGAGATTGGAGCCCGGCTCTAAACGGAGGCGGAGGAAAGAAGAACAAAAAAACCAAAAAAGCCTTTTTGAGAAACAATTCATTTGCTGGAGAAGCATCCCTTTAATGTGCATTTACTAGGTTCAGGGCACTGTGCTGCCAGGAAATTCATAGAAAGTGCCGTGGACACTGACTTCATGAGTAGATCACAGTCCAGCATGAATAGTAAGCGGAGTATCACTTTTCCAAATCAGGATAGGCTTTCCGAAAAGAAAAATACCTTCCTACCTTTTGTTTTCTTAACTCAATGTGCATAGTTTCAGCCTATCGAGTGTTGCAATGCTCAATTATTTAAACCAGGCAGACTTAAAAAAGAACAGGCAAGTACACCTGCTGCACTATAAAACAGCAAAGGCCTTGCGCTTTATTCTGTGGGAGCACTATACTCTCTCAGAATAAAAATATCTGGCCTTCTCCCAGTCATTGTATGCAAAATCTAAGCACCGATTATTACAACAGTCCTGGCAAAGTTTTATGTGTATTACCTTAGCCTCTAATACAGCAGACAAATGAGGTGAGATGTGTATGTGTGTAATGAGACTAAGCATTCGTGTAACCGACTTCCAAGTTTGATGAGGAGGTCACAGCTGGAACTCTGAGAGGGTCCCAGAGATGCTACCAGAGTTTAAAAAATAATTCTCCTCCGTGGTAGCTAGCTGGTGCTTAGTCCTACTGACATAACGAAAAAGTCGCAGTGAGCTAACTGGAAGTCACATAGGAATAGGTGGAACAAACACAGACTATGAATGTGTTGATTTATATAAACCAACCCCACGTCAATTGTTTCTGAACACTGGGTGATACCTATGAGGATGTGATAAAAAAGTAATATACCTTCTACATATGGGTCTGAGGATTAAGGAGTTTTTGTGACTTTGGGCAAGTGCTTCTTATGATTAAAAACAAAAAAAGGTTTTTTTTTTCTTAAAGGAGATTCTGCTCCCACCTTATCCTTTTTATCCTGTCGGGCATAAGGGAAGCATGGGATGACTGCGGTAACCCGGCTGGCTGAGGCAATCTTGCAGGCATTAATCATGATCAAAAGCTCCATTAGATTGTCATTGATTTCGCCACAACCACTCTGAACAATGTAGACATCCTCTCCACGTACGCTTTCTCCAATCTCCACACTACAACGAGAAAGGAAGGAAAGCAAAAACAAGGAAGATAATTTATTTAAAAAATTTTTTAAAGATTTTATTTATTTATTTGAGAGCAAGAAAGTGAGAGAGAGAGACAGAGAGAGAGAGCATGGCGGGGGAGGGTCAGAGGGAGAAGTTGACTCTCCGCTTAGCGGGGAGCCTGATATGGGACTTGATTCCAGACTCCAGCACTGTGACTGGAGCCAAAGGCAGAGGCTTAACCACTGAGCCACCCAGGGGCCACAAAAAACAAAAGATTTTAAAGCACTATACTACACTTCTACGGACAGACAGCGAGGTCTAAAAAGTACACCTTCCCTACTACTGTGCTGTTCATGGGTTACAGCCCAGTGGGGGTCATGTGGACACGGTCATATGGACACATTCCCTCACTTTGGGAAAGCCCCTGGAGGAGCCCCTGTACCAGAAACAGTCTACTGCCTCAGTTTACTCCAGTATGCCATACAAATAGCTACTTTTACATGTGATGTGGCAAGAAGATTGGCTAAAGCACTCACAAGTACTTGGAACGTAATTTCAGTGAACTGTATGTATCTCATTATAGAGAGGAACAGGACATGTGAATGCAAATTTGACACAAAATCTGTGACTGTCACAATCCACCCAGAACAAAAGCAGAAGGATCACGTAAGGAGTGAGTCACTACTGTTCTATAATGATGCCTTCTACAGAAGCCAATATATCTACCACACTGGCACTTCACTCAACAAATAGTCCATGTTCATATGCCAGTCACTGTGCTAAGTGCCAAAGACACGTGGAGAACAAAACAGATGTGGCCCTTGCTTCCATTTTATGCTAACTGTATTCTGTCCAATTAGTAAGTCTTGTTTAAAAAACATTCCACAGGAATTATGGAGTAGGGCTATACTTTACCATAAAAAGAAAGTTTTAACAGCCACGCTTGGATCCTTACCAAGAATAACTTAGGATTAAAAAATCATAACCTCCGTGACACCTCACAGCAACACCACTTCCCGAATTAAACCTGCAGGGACGGCAGGGGTTATTTGCGGATGTGTGTGTACAGTATGTAGTGTGTATCAATCAGGACTAGGCCAGAGAGCTGATGACTTCTAGCGATCAAGAGCAAAACTTCAACGGGAGGTAATTCCATTGCCAGAAGCAGCTGATACAGAAGAGAATTATTTAATATTTATTCCTTTCCAATCCAAGCGACAGTTGATTTTAAAAAGAATGGGATTAGTTTATATTACAAAGCAAGAAAAATAAGCGCTAATGGTAAAAATCAAGCCAGAAATCAATGAGAACAGGGAGGCTGAGATTCCTGGTAGCCAGAACAAAGAGGAAAACACATTGGTCTGGAGTTATCTGGAGATAAACCTTCAGGCACTGAATTCAAGAAGTATTTTTTACTAGGGATCCTCACATTAAAAGTGCATTATTTTCTCAATAATCAATATCAATAAGGCAAATCTGGGTGACTCAGTCAGGTAAGTGTCTGCTTTTGGCTCAGGTCATGGCTCAGGGTCCTGGGGTCAAGCCCCACGTGGGGCTCCCTGCTCAGCAGGGAGTCTGCTCCTCCCTCTCCCTCTTGCTCATGACTCTCTAGCTCAAATAAATAAATAACCTTTAAAAAAGCAAAAAAAAAAATCAGTATCAATAATCTTAGTCCTATACTGATAAAGTAGAAAATGGGCAAAATAAACCCGAAGTAAGCAGAAGAAAATAACCGTAAGAGCGAAGTCAGTGAAACTGAAAACAGGAAAACAATAGTGAGAAACCAGTGAAACACAAAGCTGGCTCTTGGGGGAAGGGGAATTAAAAAACTGGTAAGCCTCGGGGCACCTGGCTGGCTCAGTGGTTCTTGATCTTGGAGTCGTGGGTTTGAGCCCAATGTTGGGTACAGAATTTAGTTAAATAAACTTCAAAAAATTTTGAAAAAAGAAAAAAAAAAGATAAACCTCTAGCAAGACTAACCAGAAAACAGCTTCACTGGAGAGCTCTATCAAACATTTGAAGAATGAACACAAATTGTGCACCATCTTTTCCAGAACACAGATGAGGTGGGAATATTTCCAACGCATTTTACATTTTAAGAGGCCAGTATCAGCGAGACACCCAAAGCAGACAAAAGCAAGCTAAGGAAACTACACAGAGGGAGAAGTGTGGGTGTGGTTACAACAGGAAGGAGCCTTGCGGTGACAGGATGGTTTTGTATCTTGACTGCCTCAAGGGCAGTATCATGCCTCTCGCATTAACACTATAGTTTGCCAAAAAACTATAGTTTGGAAGAACTCTGGTTGGGAGACTTGGGAAAACTGGGAAATGGGTACACAGGATTTCTCGGTATCATCTCCTACAATTACATGTGAATCTGCGACTGCTGTGAAATTTGGTTTTAACAACAAAGGGCATTACGTCCCTCTCGTCCAGTTGGATTACGGTCTGAGAAACTACGTTAATACAGTGAGGGAATCTGGAAAACTCGGTTTTCTGATTTGATAAATAGCTCTTCTCCAAATATCTTCTCCCTAGTTTACTATGCGGCAGTCACATGGTCTGTCTTCCTCTAAGTTCCCTGCATACATCCCTCCTCACGTCAGTGCCCTGCACTTCATCCCACTACCTGGAATGGTCTTTCTGTGAGCAGCTCATTTATTTCTCAGGTCTTCAGTCAAAGTGTGTCCTCTGACTATCTTAATTAAAAAAAAAAAAAGTGACCTCCCTGAGGACCAAAAGATTAAAAGTGACTTAAAAAAAAAAAATCAACCGGGGTGCCTGGGTGGCTCAGTTGGTTAAGCATCTGCCTTCAGCTCAGGTCATGATCCAGGGGTCCTGGGACTGCGCCCAGCACTGTCTGGCTCCCTGCTCAGTGGGGAGTCTGCTTCTCCCTCCTCCCCACTGCTCGTGCTCTTACTTGCTCTCTCAAATGAATAAATAAAAAATCTTAATAAAAATCAACCAATTGTGCCATATGAGCTTCATTTGCATGCCGATTCAAGAAAGCAAGCCCCCCCTCCCAATTATGAAACAGGGAAATTTGAAACCCTAGTGCTCTTTTAGGCAAGAAAATGGTATCGTAGCTACTGAAATACATATGGGTGTTAGGATAGAACATCCATGTTTGTTTCAAAATAATTGTGGGGAGGTGTGTGGGAGGGGAGATTGACAGATGAAACAAGATTAAAGTCAGTAATTGATAACCTTTGATCTGGGTGGGTGATGTGTACACTGGAGGAGACCATTATACTATTCTGCTTCTATTTTATTTTATTTTTTTATTTGACAGAGATCACAAGTAGGCAGAGAGGCAGGCAGAGAGAGGGGGTAGGGAAGCAGGCTCCCTGCTGAGCAGAGTGCCCGATGTGGGGCTCGATCCCAGGACCCTGGGATCATAACCTAAGCTGAAGGCAGAGGCTTTAACCCACTGAGCCACCCAGGCACCCTACTATTCTGCTTCTGTTTGTTTAAAATGTTCCCTAACAAAGTGACCCTCCCCAATTACTACCTTCACAACTTACTACTTATCATGACTTGTTACCGCTTTATTTTTTACCCACTTGCTAATGGTCATCTGTTCCCTTGGATTGCAAGCTCCGTGAGGGTGGGGACCAGATCTGTTGTGCTCTTCTGGACACAGTGAATTAGTAAGCACCCCCTCAGGATTAGGCTGCCCCTTGAGAGCCACTCACTTGAGTCAGAATGCAAACCTTCTGCAGCTGCGCTACTGAGAAGATTCAGAAGCCTGGCTTCCATCATCCCTCACAAAGTAACTCACTTCACACTAGAGGCAAGTGGGTCCAACCTGTTTCTTTAGGATTTTGATAAATCTGCTCATACCCTTTCCACAGATAGATACCCAGCTGGCAGAGATTTTGTTTTGGGTAGAACCACAACCTGTTGGGCCCACCAGAGTGGGGAGAGTTACGAAGAATTTTATGGCAGGATCCTGCAATCTTGATACAAGAGGCAACCTAATGAACAATATGACAATTTTGTGGACCCTGGTTTAGCTTAACCGACTGCTAGTTGTTTTTTTTTTTTTTTTAAGATCTTATTTATTTGAGAGAGACAGAAAGAGAGAGAACGAGTCGGGGGGGAGGAGCAGAGGGAGAAGCAAGACTCCCCACTGAGCAGGGAGCCCCATGTGGGACTGGACCCCTGAAGCCGAGATCATGACCTGAGCCGAAGGCAGATGCTTCACCGACTGACCAACCCAGATGCCCTGTGAACTGCCATCTATTAATCACCAAGATCAGCCTTAAAAAGCAATAGACTCTGCCAGTAATGTTAACTATGCCAATGCCAAAACTGCTTTCTGAAGACACTCTTCAAAAATTCAAATGAACAGGGGCGCCTGGGTGGCTCAGTGGGTTAAGCCTCTGCCTTCAGCTCAGGTCATGAACTCAGGGTTCTGGGATCGAGCCCCGCATCGGGCTCTCTGCTCAGCAGGGAGCCTGCTTCTCCTCTTTGCCTGCCTGTCTGCCTACTTGTGATTTCTATCTGTCAAATAAATAAATAAAATCTTTAAAAAAAATTTCAAATGGACAAGGAGGAGGGAGCCAGGAAGGGCTTTCTGGGAGCGCAACTTCCACGTTTCCAAAGTGTAGGTCCTAGAATGGCACCGTTCAATCTGGGAGGCACTGGACTTGTGTGGTTACCAAGCACTTGAAATGTGACTAGTGTGAGGAACTGAACTGAAATGTGCTAGAAGCATAAAATACACACTCTATTGTGAGGATGGTATAAATAAAAGGAAAAACGTATCTCAATTTTAATGTCACTTAAGTGTTAAAACTACCCTATTTTGGGATATGCTGGGATAAATAAAAAAGAGTATTAAAAAATTACAAACCACAAGCAGACAAGGCTGAATAACACCTCCCGGAGGAGACCATGTGCTGGTCTCCTGTTTAAAGAGACTTCTCACAATTCCTTTACTCACACTGCCCACCCTGTGAGAAGTTCCAGGCTACAAGAGCTCCTTCTACGTTTTATGGTGC